CTCTCATTACTTGACCTAAATTCTTTTAGTGTCACCAAGAATCTCTCAGCCAAATCCAAAGGATACTTCTCTTAGATCCTTCCGACCTCTGCTACATTTGGCTTTAATAATCCTGTATTTTAGATTATTCTCTTCCATCCTGATTTCTGTAATGATTTCCTTCTTCACTTACTCATTGTTGCTCTCCTCCTGCCACTGATTGTCTTAGCCTGCTACATCTCTGTCTACACAAGCACCTTCACTTTGCAGTTCATCATGGACATGGCTGCCCCGAGTATGTAGTTAAGGCTCTAATTTACAGCTCATCTCCTGTAATGCTTCCACTGCCTGTGATGAGTCTAATCCACTCTAGCCTTTCACCACTTCTGGCCTTCATCAATTCCAAACGTTGCCTGATCTTATGCAGTCATCATTTCTTATAGCATTTATGTCCTAAAGCATGAAATACAAAAGACTACTGATGACATATTAGATGATTTTAAGTGGTCCATAGAAGCACATTTAAAATCATGTTTATTTTGAGGGGCGCCTGGGTGGCTCAGTGGGTTAAAGCCTTTGCCTTCTGCCTTCGGCTCTCGTCATGATCTCAGGGTCCTGGGATTGAGCCCCGCATCCCGCTCTCTGCTCAGTGGGGTGCCTGCTTCCCACCACCCCCACCCCCCTGCCTCTCTGCCTACTTATGATCTCTGTCAAATAAATCTTTAAAAATATAAATAAATAAATAAATAAATAGTCACGACTTATCTGAAGTTTGGGCAATACTGGCCACTGGGAAGTCCAAGCAGGGTGGAACTTAAACACTTACAGTTAGGCTCTGGGTCAATGATTTGAATCCTATTTACTAGCTCAGTAAGTCTAGAAGAATTACTTAAACCTCTTTAAGTCACAGTTTTCTAGTTGTGTAACAGGGATAAAATAATCTACCACCTAGATGTATTATATAGATTGAAAAAGATAATCCACAAAATTATCTTAGCTCAGTGCCTGGCATGGAAAGTGCTCAATAAATATTAATAATTGCAATTCTTCTTTTTAATAATTGCAATTATCCATGTTCTCTCTTGGCCATCATGCCTTCACTTGAGATCTACTAGACATGTGACCTATACCAAAGACAATTTTCATATATGGATTTTCTGCCCCAAACTTCCTTTATCTGCTTTTATGTCTTTATTTTTATCTTCTGGTATAAATCCAAAGATCACGTGATAACCTTTTACCATTAACCTTTAAAACTGTGAGCATCTTAGCAGTGAGAGCCACAAGCCATATTCCTTTGATTCACTACCTTACAAAATTAAAAGAATCCTTAATGTTTGTTTAAAAAAGTCTAAAAATTAGAAAGGAAAATCTGCTGCAAATAAAACATATGTTTATGTGCATAGTACATAAACAAAATGTCTGAAAGCCCTTGATACTATTCTAATAGGATATGACAAGGTATTCTTTTGCTCTTCTAAGGTATCTGTCAGTTGAATCTTAGTCGTGGGTCAATTCTTCTGTGTCCCACTCTCACACATTCAGTAATAAAACCTAGGTATATGCTAACCACTCACGGTATATGGTGATGTGGACATGGAAATAATTTAGTAAAGGAAACAGACTAACACTGGAACACAAGTAAAAAGAAAATTACTAGGGGCGCCTGGGTGGCTCAGTGGGTTAAAGCCTCTGCCTTCGGCTCAGGTCATGATTCCAGGGTCCTGGGATCGAGTCCCGCATCGGACTCTCTGCTCGGCAGGGCGCCTGCTTCCTCCCCTCTCTCTCTCTCTCTCTCTGCTTCTCTGCCTACTTGTGATCTCTGTCTGTCAAAATAAATAAAATCTAAAAAAAAAAAAAAAGAAAGAAAGAAAATTACTAGATAATATGTGTGTAAATCATATCCAAGTGTTTTTTGATACTATACATGCTCCACAAATGCAGACTATATACCCCTCCTGTAATGCAGAGCACCTAGCAGCACCACACAGGGGTAAGAACATTACATCATATTAACAGTGATAACTTAATTGCTACCTTGTTTTCAGACTGTAAGTAAATGCTAACCATATAAAAGTTTTTGTCTGCCAACTAGACCACTGTTGAAACTCACTAATAGCCCTTGCTTCATCTGATTTGCCAGCAAACATGCACATACACAGGCCCTAAAACCTGACTGGCATTCTGTTAATCTACAGCAAAATAACTACAAAGGGACTGGCAAAAAGATCAGTTTGTATTTAGCCTTTCTGGGGATGGAGGGAAAATATACAACAGAAAATGTACTGAAGTTACCCTCTGTAGAGAATTCCTTTACCCACAAAGATGTCCTGACTGATGCATCAAAGGCTTTATTATTGGGAAATCTAAAATGTTATGACTCAGAAAACCAACATTAATTCTCAAGCTTCTAAGCAACAGTTAACAGTTAACATTGACTAAGATAAGCTATCACTGTGTTACCTTTTCGTAAATTGACAAATTTCACTTTACTGAAAGGGTATTAGTCATACATAACTCAGTGAGACACAACTCTTGGATCTCCTTCACTGTAAGAGTAGGGTTCTGTACCAATTTGTGTAACATTTTATCAATAATCAATCCTTGTCTTACACAAATATGGCATAAACAGCACCTGAAACAAGTTACTCAACTGGCGTACAAACTGAAGCAGTGTCTGGACAGAGGGCAAGAGGGAAGGGAAAATCATATAATCTTCAAAGACATTTTACCAACACGGGTGGTGGGGTGGCATAAGGGTAGTGGGGAGACAGGCTGGAATGAGTCAGACTTCTGTATTTTCAGATGTGCTCAACATACTGAACCCAGGGTTATTGACTGTAGAGCATGAAGAAATCTCCAAGAAACAAAATCTAGTGTCTAAGTGTTAAAAAAAAGAAAGAAAGAAAGAAAGAAAACGAAAAGAAAGAAAGAAAGAAAAAGAAAGAAAAAGAAAAACTAATTCCCAAAGAATATATATACTCCATTCTAAGAATATACAACTTACTCACTGCTTGGAGAGTACTTTCTTCTACCAATATTCTGCCAATTCACTATTACAATGTACTAAGCACAGTAATAAGCCCTCTACACACATTATCTTTGTTAATACTACAGCAAACCTTGGAGGGAAGTACTATTATTATCATCACCTCCATTTTACAGATGAGGAAATATTTTATCTACAACAGAGGCCAGATCTCAAAATTTAAAAATTGTATGCCATACTATAAAGAGTTTTAACCAACCGGCCTTTAAATAGAAAAAGGTAGGAAAACTAGCTTCTATCCTATCCTCAAAGTAGTTATAACTGTTTTTTACCTCTTGCAACACTTTCACCATTATATGCAACAATGTTTCTATACTGAAATCAAACGAAAGAAAAAAACTAGGTTAACAATGCTGCATCTTTAGTTACTACAGTTCCTACAATTACAAGGAACAGGAAGGCAGTTTGCAGGCCCAGAGCACCCTTTGGATTTAGACAGTCCGGACTTGAATCTCTACAGCACCACCAATAACTCTTGAGTGACCTTGGTCAAATTAATATCGCAGATTTCATTTCCTCATCTGTAATATGGAAGGATGATAGCAGCAGCCCAAGGAAAGATCATATATGTTACAGGGCTTATTACTATGCTCAGTACACAGTAAAACGTCAACTAATGGTGGAGAGAAAACAGCCACATACATAAGCTCACCAAACCAAATATAAAAGTAAAAAAAGCCTAAATTACCTCAAGTCCATTACAGAAAAAAAGAAAATTACGATTTCACTACATGCGAAAGATAAAATCCAAATTCAACCTATTCCTAATTATTTTAGGGGATCGGTGCATCTGAGGCGGGCCAGGGACGACGCTGCAGTACATCTGTGACACACACCTAAAAATGGCTCCAGTCGGAGCAGCATCTTAATCACCACAGAGGAAGTTCCATCTACTTTTAACAAACGCGGAGTTCGACTCGGTGGGCGCTGAAGTATCTCCCTGCCGTTCTAAGAGCGGGCTCTTGATCACGAATCGTGATTCTTCCGGTGCGTTCCCCAGGAAGACCTTACAGCCCAGCGGCCCACCGCACCATCACTTCCGAGCACCCCAGCCGGCATGAACCCACGAGCCCGGGCTGAAGGTCGGCCCATGCAGAGATCCGGGTAGCTTTCAGAAGCCAGCAAACAGCAGGCATGGTGGAAACCTCAAGAAATTCTCAGACCGAGTCAAAACAAATATGCATCCCTTTCAAGGAACCAGACGTACTACCCTCGGGCAAAAGGACCATGTATCAGGGTCCCACTGGTTCCCCACGCCCTTTTCTTCAAGTCCCCACGGGGGGCCTTCGCCGTAACCCCCGTCATCTTAACGCGGCCCCCGAGAGACGGGGCTGCAGAACGGGATTCCCTGCGCAGGTCAGGGGACGGCGAGGCCTAGGGTCCGCAGGAACGAACCCTCCTCTGGGGCTGGGGCAGCGCGTCCCCAGCGGAAGCAGGGCTGGTCCAGATCCCCCCAGCCTCCCACCAGTCAGGTCTTTAACCCCCTCCCCCAATCTCTCGCGCACAGGCTCCCTGCGAACCCCACCCTCACCGCGCGCGGAGAGCAAGCCGGCACCGAGGCCGGCCACGAGCCCCTGAGCTGTCCGGGGGACGCATCCTACACGCGCGACAGAGAGACCGCGCGCCCGCCCGTCCGCGGACGGGAACCCCCTTCCGCAGCCGGCCACGCGAGGACCCGCCCGCGCAGGCCCGCGCTGCGGCCGGGCGGGAGCGAGACCGGCGGGTACGGGGCTCCGCTGCAGACCACATGGGGCGGGTCCGACTCCGCTTTCCCGCTCCCCGACCCGGAGGCCGAGACCTCCCGCGACCGACGAAAACGGGGGGCACGGCCGGACCCACGGCCGCCTCCCAGCGGCTTCCCAGCTCTGGCCGCCGGGGTCACGGCGCGCTCGCACGCCCCGGGCCGCCCCGCGCCGGCCCTCCCCGGTGGGGCCCGCTCGGATCCCGGGTCCTCCGCCCTCGCCTTCCTTACCGGCCAGGGCGAGCGTCAAGCGGAGGGGGTCTGCGCACCTCGAGAGTCTCCGCCGAGCTCCGATCGAGGGAAGGGGCAGGGGAGTGTGGGGGTGGGGGGCGGCCGGAAGGACCGCCGGACTGGGAGGGCCGAAGCTGCGGACGGACAAACCGCCAAAGCACTTTCGCCGCTTCCCGAGAGGGAGAGAGCGAGCGAGAAAAAGAAGCAAGATGGCGGCTAGCCAGCCCCTACGTACTACGTCACGCCGCGGCGTACGTCAGGCAGATCTCCGCAGGCCCGCCCTCGGGCGCAGAGACGGCCGGATCACGTGCAGCCTCCGTGGCGGCCCGACCCCGGCGGAAGGCGACGGCGCCTCCTGCCGGAAGGAGGGAGTTCCTGCAGTCGAAACTGCCGCGGCGCGGTGGACATTGGCCCGCGTTCCTCCCCGGGAGCCTTGAAGAGACGCGACGGCAGGTCCCGAGTCTCCGGAAAGTGCGCGCTCTTGGAGCTGACGGACGGGCGTGGGGATTGGCTCCACCAACAGTGTGGCACTGTGTGTCGGCGCTACGGTCTGCATGATCTTTAACGTTGCCATTGGGCGGTTTCTTGATATTTTCCGGAAATGTGAATACAATATTCGTGATACCAAAACCTGCACGTTGATAAAGATAGACAAATGCATTTTGATACATCCCCACACTGGACTACTCTGAACCCATTAAATTCAGATTAATGCTTAATGATCGGGGAAACGCTTATGCCGTAACATGCTTATGCCATAACCATCCTATAAAAACACCCGCCTATGTGCGTATTCATAGAAAAGACTAAAAAATATACTCTGGGTGCTAATAATGGTAACGTTAACAATAGTTTTCTTAGAGCAATAAGATTTTTAGAATATGTTATGCATGCCTGTGATTTCCTGATTTTATAGTCAGAGATCACTTTTAAGGTGTAATGAGAAGTTTGTGAGTCGTAAAATAGGATACACAAACGGTAAATGTGTGCATACACAGTGTATATACTGTGTGTGTAACTATATATGGTGTTTGCTTATGTTTCATAAAGCATTACATATTCCTTAGGTTTTATTTATTTTTAAAGGTTTTATTTATTTATTTGACAGAGAGAGGGAGAGAGAGCACAAGCAGAGGGAGCAGGAGAAGCAGGCTTCACTCAGGTGACTCCACAGGGGGGGGCTCCAGTGGGGGCTCAGTCCCAGGAGCCTGGGATCATGACCTGAGCTGAAGGCGTGGGCTTAACTTAACTTAGCCACCCAGGCACCTCTTTAGGTTTTAGAATAAGCCAAGAACAGGTTCTGCTAATGAATTGCTCCGTATTAGGAGTAAGTTACTTAGTATCTTTTAGATTCAGTTTTCTCATGTGTAAAATGCTGATGATACCTACTTATGCCAACTGTACTTCAATTAAAACATAATAAAATGTTCAAAAAAGTAATAAAATATTTAAAAGTCTTTTTAAATATTTATTTCAGAGCGAGAGTGTGAGACACAGAGAGGGAGCATGAGCAGGGAAGAGGCAGAAGGAGGGGTAGAAACAAACTCCCACTAAGCAGGGAGCCCACAGAGAGGCTTGATCTCAGAACTCTGGGATCATAGCTTGAGCCAAAGGCAGATGCTTAACCCACTGAGCCACCCAGGTGCCGATAAAGTATTAAAGAAAAAAAAATTCTTTTGGGGTGCCTGGGTGGCTCAGTGGGTTAAGCCTCTGCTTTCAGCTCAGGTCATGATCTCAGGGTCCTAGGATCGAGTCCCGCATCGGGCTTTTGGCTCAGCAGGGAGCCTGCTTCCCCCTCTCTCTCTGCCTGCTGCTCTGCCTACTTGTGATCTCTCTCTGTCAAATAAATAAATAAAATCTTTAAAAAAATATTTTCCACAAAAAAATAATATTTACTTCTCAAATTTGTGTTATTTACTCACCAGATATGTACCAGGTGCCTACTGTACAGTCTGGGGACTGGGGATATAAAGGTATAGAACAATTAAGACCTTGGTGCTAAGGCAACAGTCTAGTGATACAGATGCAATAATAGGTTTGGATATGTGCAATGAAGGAAACAAAGAGGATATTAACATAAAGAATAACCAGCGAGAAGAGCAGGAGGAATTGACTTTAGAAAGTGTGGCCACTGAGTACCTTTCCGAGAAGGGGCCTTTTAAACCGGGACCTAAATGATAACCAGAAGCAGTAATGCAAAGAGTGGGTGGAAATTGCTCTGGACCAAGTGAACTGAAACTGCAAATGCCCTGGTCTGGGAAAGAGCTTGGAATGTTCTAGGAACTAGGAGAGGAGTGCGTCTAGAACTTAGTCAAGAGAGAGTGACACGTGATGATACAAGAAGGAGAAATAAGGGCTGGATTCAGAAGGGTCTTAGAAGCCAGGTTAGGGGGTGCAGTGAAAAGCTTTGGGAAGATTTTAAGATGAGGAACACATGATCGGATATTTTATATTTTAAGATCACTGTGAGTGAAGAGTGTGAAAAATAGATTGTAGGGAGCCGCGGAAGGAAACCAGCTGCCCTGCTAGGCAGTAAATGAAGTAATTACAGTGCTGAAGAATTAGAGTGGCCTGGCCTAAAATGGAGGCATGGAGACGGAAAGAAGCAGACAGATTTGGCATATATTTTGGAGCTAAAATATACTTGCTTGTGGGACATGATGGCTTTGAAATGTGGGGGAAGAAGAAAATCAATGACAACAGAGTTATGGCTTGAGCGACTGGGTGAATGACAGCAACATTTATAGAAATTACAGTGTTGGAAGAGGGAAGCAAAATCACATGGATGGTGGAGCAATATCACAAAGAAAAATTGGGGGAAATTAAATTTTGGACGTGTTAAATTTGAGATGTTCAGGTACTGTCTAACTGTAGATCAAGTATGCCGTGGACATGCATGTGGAGAGCTGAAGGGAGGTCAGAGCTGGAGAGAGAGATTTGAGGCTCAGAGATACAGCTTTCGGACTCGTACACACACATTTCACAGGCAAGTGTTCCAAATGGTGGAAGCAGATGAGATCACTTAGGGAGAGAGCAGGAAAAGAGGACAGAAATGGCCAGCCCTAACACCAGCAATACATAAAGGTAAGTGGAGGTGGAGAATGTAGCCGAACAAAGAGGCCAGAGAACTGGGAAGCCTGAAGGCGATGATGTCACAGAAGCTGAGAGAAGAGAGAATTACAAGACGGCATTTCCCGTATGTGAGACACTGCTGAGAGGTCAAGTCATATGAAGAAGGAGCCAAAAGTGTCCAGTGTGTTTGGCAACATGGAGGTTACCAGTATCTTTTACAAGAAGTTTTGGTGGAGTAACAAGGTCAGAAAGTCATATGATGGTGAGTTGAAAAGAAAATAGATGTTGAGAAAGTGGGGATTATGGATAAACAGTTATTTCCAGAACTTGAATTTTGCCAAGACAGAAACACAAGGTAGCTGGAAGGAAAGTGGAGTAAAGAGAGACACTTTTAAATATTGGAGAGAGGGCGCCTGGGTGGCTCAGTGGGTTAGGCCGCTGCCTTCGGCTCAGGTCATGATCTCAGGGTCCTCGGATCGAGTCCCGCATCGGGCTCTCTGCTCATCAGGGAGCCTGCTTCCCTCTCTCTCTCTGCCTGCCTCTCTGGCTACTTGTGATCTCTGTCTGTCAAATAAATAAATAAAATCTTAAAAAAATATATTAAGAAAAAAATATTGGAGAGAGTAGATCATGTTTGTATGATGATGGGAATAATCCAGAAGGAGGTCAGTAACAATTATATAGGAGACAGAGGGAATCCTAAGGAAGGGAGGTTCCTGAGAAGGTGTGAAGGGGTGGACGGACAATTTACCTTTGGAAGGGAAAGTAGGTGCAGCTATAGGGAATACTGATGATTCCGAAGGGAAGTCCCATTGATGACTTCTGTTTTCTCAGTGAAGTAGGGAGGGAGGAAATCTGCTGAGATGGCGTGGCTTGTGGGAGTTTGAAGGGAAGATTCAAAAGTAAGAGAGTGAAAAATTAAGCCTACTGTGAGGAACAGAGTAGGATTGGCATGCTCTGCCGAGAGCGCTTTTAATGTTTGTGATGATGGATGTAAAATGTGCCATTCAGTTTATTTATATGATTTCTCCAGCTGTGTACAGCATTTTGGTACAACTATGGAGAAGATAGAGTCTCCCATGCAGGACTTTACCAGTCAAGAATAATGTAGGGAAGTGAGGGTATCCATAAGTAAAAGACTGTAATGATGATAATATTGAGTTTGAACAGATGGTGGCTATGTGGTAAACAGAAACTTGTGTCCACTTTGTGAATTATATATGGTATATTTTAAATTCAAGGATTCCTTTCTACCTCTCCTGGTCTGAGCTGTATTTCCCATCAATATCTTCAAAGATTATCCCTGCAGCAATGTTAGAATAAATAAAATAACAAACAGGTAAGTTCACAAGCACATACACATTACGGGTAAGTTCACTGCCCCCCCCCCAATTGATATCAATAGTCTTTTGAAATGGAGAAGCTTGGCTGATATAGGGTCATTGCCAGGCATAGGCCTGCTGACTGTCCCCAAGAGGACAAGGAAGGCTCACCTTGGTTAATTCTTCCCCAACCCTCTAGGATCTAGCCTAGAATGTTTGAGTCTCTAAAGTACCTTTCTTTAGCAACATAAACAGCTCCAGCAATCAGATGAATTTCTATTAGCCAAGGTCATGAGAATGATATATATATCCAGAATATTAATTTATTAATTTTCAGTTTAAATACCTGAAGACTCAAGACTGCAAAGCCAGTGTATTTTCTACACAGACAAACCTACTGAAGGCTGTTTGATGAGCCCAGATTCAGAACAAGTGGAGTTATGCTAGGGCTTGTTCTCGATTCATCTATCTCCATGACAGGATGATTTTGTCCCAAAGACGGAAGGACTCAGTGTCCAATGGTTGCAACTTTCTACACTGATCTCCGATACAGCAGGGACATCCTGCCACGCTATTGATTGAGCTGCTTCTCTCCTTGACAGCGCTCGGATGGGCACTGAGGTGTTCCTGTCTGCGCCTTTCCCCGTTTCCATGGCTACCCAAACCTCTTAGCAAACTTGTT